CATGGGGGTGGCTTATAAATGGCCTCTAGGCTTGTCAGCAGTTTGCAGTTAAAGCAAGACAACCTATGTGAATGAGAATTCCTGGAAAGAAGCCGTGTTTGCAGAGACTAATTGACTAATTAGAACCACAAGGATGTGGTGAGGTTGGAATGGTGCAGATCCAGAGCCTAATTATACTTTATCTTGGGCTAACTTTTGCCCCCTAAACAGCCATTCCTTGCCCACCTCTGTAATGGACGTAACATCCTGTGATTAACAGATAAAAACCTTTTGGAGTTTATTAATTCAATAGACAACTAGATTTCATTAACCCAAAGGCTAAGCCGCCATCAGATAGCATCTGAGGCCCATAGACCTTCCCTCACCTTGCTGTAATCGGCCTCTCTGATGTTTCCATCGGTGTATTTTTTAAATGCCTGGATTTATAACTCTCTCTGTTCTGTTACTACTATAATGCTCCATGAAAGTGCTTCTACACTAGAACATTACATTTGGGGAAACCTAAATGCATGTCCCTGGGCCATGGTAACAAATAATTTTGGTTCCAGAACAAACTATGTCTTTTATTCCTTTGGGGTGAGGGCTGTTTCTTTCAACCACACCTGACAGGGGGAGGAAATTCCTCTACAAAGTCCAGTGGATGCATCAGGGTGAGGCTGTGGTGTCTGGGGTAAAGAGAAGTGGTGGCCCCCTTCTGTGGCTATGCCGTTACCCACCTCACATTGCTTCTCTGAAGAGTCAATGAAGTCAATGCTAGGAATTGGCAATACTATCAAAATACTCTTTGCACACAAATTGGCCAGCAGATCCTGTTGCTCAGGGAAAGTCCTTTTGATGTAGTCTGCCTTTTTAAACAGTACGAACAAGTGAGAGATCTGCCTGTGGGCTTTTCCCTTCTGTTGCATAAGGAAAAGTTGCCTTCCATGTTTCCAGCCCTGTAGTGATGGCTTTAGCACGAAGGTCTCACCAGGTACAGGCAGTGTTCTCAAGGAAAATGCAAACAAAGGCTTGTTTTCAGCCATGGAAACGTAATCATTCCCATGCTTGAATATGCTTTACATTACTTAGAAGGGAGTTTATTGGCTCTGGGTCTGTTGTGTCACCGGGGAAACCATGGTGTGCTGTTAAAACACTAATGAGAAAAACAGCTCAGGCAGCCCCAGACTGAGGGGAGCCTCAGGTAGCCTGGCAGAGAGAAGTCCCCAGTGAGGTACTCAGGAAGCTGAAGTGGGGTGGGGCTGCCTAGAGCTGCGAGAATCAGAATCGAGTGAAGGCATTGTTGAGTCACTTGGGGGAAGGAATGCAAAGCCAGAAAAATGATGACATTAACAGCAAAGGCAATTTTTTTTTTTCTTGTTTGGGAAACAAATTTTTCTTTCCTATTTGAAATGGCCTAGTGTCTTTGAGGTCTCCTATTTCAGTGTTTCTAGTCAATGTCTTACATGTGGGAGAGAGTCCCAAATTCCCAACCTGAGTAGAGGTCATGGTCACAGGTCCCTGCAAGAAGAGAATTCAGCATTTTGTGAGCAGATTGACCATGGCTTATGCCTTGTCATCACACGTGGAGAAAGAAAGAGGTCAGACAAAGGGTAGACCTTTTGACATTCAAAATGGCCAAGTTGACTCTCCTGAGCTCAGATCTGCTGATTTCAGGGATTTTTATCACATTTTTGGTGCAAAAAAAACATTGCCAGTACTTCAATAATTAAGTTGAAGTAATCAATACTAAAGATGCCACTGAGCGGCAGGAGGCAAAGTCTCAGCACTTGAACCAGGATATTGTCCTCCTCCTGGTTGAAGGGTGGGTAGCAGTGAGATGACCTAGCTGGAGCAGCTCAGTGCAGCACCCAGCACAGCAGCAGTTGAGTCTCAGGACACACCCTTCCCTCACTCAGGCAGCACTTTTGACACAAGATGGTGTCCAGGGTCTCTCCAACCTTCTCAACTCTAGAAAAGGTCTACAGCTGTTTCTTCCCTGCTAGGAGCCTGAACCCTCTCTCATTTACCCTCAGGATGCTTTCTTAGCCAAGTGCTCCAAAATGGTGCACAGGCAATCCAGAAGAGCAGAGTTCACCTACTGTGAACTTGGGGCTGCAAAAATAAAAAGTAAGTAAATCCTCGGAAGTGGCAAAGAAGGAAATAAATACAAAGATAACAAGTAAAAGTATGCAAAGGATGGAAACCAGCAGTTGATTCTTTGAAACAAGTAACATAACAGACAGAGCCCAGGCAAACCGGAGTGTGGTGACAAGGGACCTTTATCAAAAAACCCAAACAGACCTGATGTGTGGGCAAACAAAAGGTTTGGAAAATTTCAAAGAAGTGATGCAAAAATGTCAGAAATCTGAAAAGAGACTTCGGAAGAGGGAACCAACATTACCCTCATACTCCCACATCATCAGAACCCAGACTTAACCACAGTCCTTCCACTTGTAGTTCGCGGGCTCTGAACAGCACGGTCTCTCTAACAACGCTCTTCCCGTTGGGATGCGAACCTCTATGTGCCCTGGCCCCACACACTTTGAAATTGTGCAATATGGACCTTTTCCAAGTCTCATCCTTCTGTATTCTGTTCTCTACAGTGGGTCACTGATCCCTCAGTGTTCCCTGAAGTCCCAGACTGTGCAATCTCCAACTCTTCACCCACTCACTAACTCTGCTGTTGTCTATGAAGCATGGCAGTCTAAGACAAGTCAGCTCCTACAATTCAGTTCCATGTGTATACACAAAAATGGCGGCTGAATACCCAGATGATGGTAAACATGGTTAGCAGAGTGGGGCAGCGATAGAGTCTTGTTCTCTTTTCTCTTGCAGTTTGCTGTGCTTCTTTATATAGATTTCTACATAGAGTCTGTATTATACTTTTTTTTAAAATTATTTCTGTTTTAATTCCAAAAGAAGACATTGGAACATTCTCACTTTACACTTACACTACTCAAAACCTAACTTTATAGAATTTAATAGAATTTAAATTTTTTCCTCTCTCTGACAAGATTGCTTCTCTACAGAAACGTTATACTACTAGTTCTTATTCTGTGAATCATTTTTCTCACTGAACACTGCTTTGTAGTCCTTCCCATGTTTGTACGTGCTGACCTGTTCTGTCTACTTGTAAGCTCTATTGTCTGCATAGCTCATGGTGTGTTTATTTTGGCGTGTGTGCTTAGCTTTATCCATTCCTGACACTGCAACAGTGAACACACTTGTATTTTCATAATGAGCTCCTAAGAGTGAGGGTCTAAGATAGACACAGTCACTTGCGATTGCTTGGTCATTTTTCATTCTAATAGGTCAAGGTTGTACTGTGGAGTACCAAAACAGTGATTAGGGACATTGATTTATTTATATAATCAGTATTAGCTATAATAAACCTTATTTTGATGAATGAGAAACAATATTACTAGAATATTACTAGGATAATATTACTAGAACGTTACTAGAATAATATAACTTGCATCTCCTTTTATTGAGGATTCTGGCTATCCTTTTGGATAATTATAAATCAGGTGTATCTCTCTCTCTCTCTCTCTCTCTCTCTCTCTCTCTGTGTGTGTGTGTGTGTGTGTGTGTGTGTGTGTGTGTGTGCGAGCGCGCACGTGTGTGCGTTTGAGACAGGGTCTCAGATAGTTCAGACTGGTCTCCAGCTACCTACTAGCTGAAGATGACCTTGAACCTCTGAGCTTCCTACCTCCACCTGGGATTACAGGCATGTGCCACCATGTCCAGCTTGTACTAAATTTTTTATGAAAAGACTACTTACTGGTTGTGAGTTTTGTCCCTTTTCCATTAGGATTCTTTGCTTCTTTTTGAAGTAAGTATCTTATTTGTTCTGGATATTAATTTTGCTTTGCTGAAGTGTATTTTATGTAATTAACTTAGCAATACACATTTGCAGCATTCTTTAGCTTTTTTTTTTAATGTGTGGGATGTATTTTCAGGAGTGACATCTTTGGGTACAAGGACCCTCCATTCCTCCTAAGGCTGCCAAATGGGCAGCACAACTGTCCCTTGGGATCAGTGAGGATTGGTTCCAGGATCCCCTGCAGATACACAAATCTGCATGGGTTCAAGTCTTATATATAAAATGGCAGACTATTTGCATATAGCATGCCTATCATCTCTAGGTTTTGTAAAACAGCCAATACAATATACATAACTACCTAGGTAGATGTTACTCTGCATTGGTTAGGGTGTAGTCAATATTTTTCCTCTCCAGTTGTTCAAATCTGTCATTGTGGAACCCACATATACAGAGAGTCAGTGGTACATGGTCTTGCTCATCAGAAAGATGCCTGCATTCTCTAGTGTGTGATTTGGTCTAAGATGGTGAAACAAGGTTTCCCAAATAGGCACCTCCCGACAGCCCTGAGCTGCCTGCTCCGCCCCTTTGCTCTTCTTTCTGTCCGCACCCTGGGTTGGCAGCACTCCAGAGCTGGCCAAGTCTTTCTCCACAATTGCCCCACCTCCCCCTGCGTTTGGCTCATGGTTCTGTTCTCAATTTGATCTCCTGTTCTTTCATCCTTTCCAAAATCCTTACAGACACTTCCACCAAAGACGGCTAGATTTGTTTTCTGTCGTACACATGACTGATTTAACTTGTTTGAATGCATTTTCTCTTTTATTGTCAGGCCTACGGGATGTTCAACACGTGTCTAGTCTGACAGCCATCTTGAATTGAAATTCCTTTGTGATTTAAAAATGCCAAGGAAAGCCCAACCTAACACTTAAATCCTATGCCTTTATGTTATCCTCTAAAATAAAGCTATTTCATTGAAACATATAAAGTTCCCCAGCTACAGTCAGGAGCTTGGTCCTGGGCTCCATGCTAATGCTGTAGGAGGGACTCAGAGATTAGCTCTTGCTCTGGGAAAATGCGGAGCCTAAGTGAGAGCAGGAGGAAACGCACATCAACTAAGCATGCTTTAAATACATCCCATCAGGACTGTTACCCCAGGAAAGGGTCTGCCAAAACCTCTTGTCTAATTAGTCATTTTAATCAGGTCTCTTCCAGGATAATAACTGGAGCTAAACTTCATAACGAGCAAATTCATATTCATCATTCTATTTATGCTGCAAAACAACCCGGAGGTAAGAGCTATTTTTATCCCACTTTACATATGAGAACTATTTCCATGCTCTAAGCATAGTCTTTATCCCTCCCCTAGGACAATAGGCTACCAGCAACATGCAGTGGGCTTAAGCTTTACAGTAGCCATCCTGCACAGGGCACCTGAAGGTTCTGAGTGACTCTGGGAAAACCAAACCAGGCCGGACACTTCTCCCAAATGACCGAGAGGGCTGGCCCTGCATCTTTCTGACAATGGCATTCCTGCCCTGGATATTTCATGTGTATTATACATTCCTGAATGCTGTGGGTGGGAGGTACTGTGCGGACTCCCCTCCCATTTTCTCAAGTACATAAATACTCAGCACCTTACCAAAGGCTAGAGGAGGAAGTGCCGGAAATCAGCTCATTGGCTGGCTGCAGTCTCTAAAGCACAGGTCCGCGGACCATAGCTGTCTTTTGTGCTACAAGCACAAAAGTGGGTTTTGCATTGTTTAAAAGTGTATTGTAAATAAATGCAAAATCCCAAAGGAATACGAATGGTAGAGAAAATATCTAACTCTCAAGACCGAAAACATTTACTCCCTGGCTCTTCATACATTAAAAGCTCAGTTCAAACCATGACTCTTGCACCCACCAAAGGAGGGTGCACTATGATGACCTGTGAGGGGTGCATCCTCATGAGCATATTTGACTGAAAGACTGACAGGAGGTGAACAGTTTTACATAAAAACACAGGTAGGAGATGAAATGGGTAAAGATCATTAGTTTAGCCATCCATGTTCTTTCACGTCCCTCTTGATCCCTTTGTGTCTCAGGCGCAAACAAATCATTTTATTAGAGTTTGCTTGAGACAAAATGAAGACTTCGCCCTGTTCAATTTCCAGGTGGCAGGCCCTAGAATTATCTGGATTTTTTTTTAAAGGAGGGCAGAATCAAGGTTTACCTTCATAAAGATTGTGACTTAGAATGTGTATCACAAGGGTAATATCATGACAGAAAGAGACGATATCTTGATGAGTTTGGCATGCTGTGTGGTCCATGAGAACGGCTATAACTCTCTGAATTGATCTCTTCTCTCATGATTTGGATGTGAAGAGGAGAACAGGAGAAATTATCAGGTCATCCTCTTGCAGGGCCCCTAGCACTGTCCTCTCATTTTTTTCCCTAGTGTTGGCCACATCGCCTGACCTGCCCAAGTTGAGACCACGGAAGTGCCAGAGTGCCTGTGAGTCTCCAGCTTTGCAAAATTTGCATATACGTGAGTGTATAGGGATGGTATAATTTTTGATAGATTCCTAAACCTGTTCTTCTATCTACATATAAGCAAACTCTGAAGAAGACCGAGGATCATGAGTCGTGCTAAAGGGAGTCATAACCTTCCTTAGTGAAACTTAAGAAGATACTCAAAGAATTCAGCTTCTAGGAATGGGCATTTTAATTGTTTCCCTCAGCTTGTTCTTAAAATCTGCACAGGGTTAAGAGGGGCTCAAATGCCTCTGTGTTTTCACCATGCCCCAAGACACCAAACTTCTCATGAATGATCTTAGAAAGTTGCAGGGGCATCCCCTGGCAAGACAGCCATGTCCGTGGGTCAGTACAAGGCAGGGAGATGAAGCACTCCAGAGATGGCTTCAGGGAACAGGGCCAGCTTTATTGCGCGTGAACAACCACTTACACGGTGGAAGCCTATCGGCCGTGATTGGTTAGCATATTGCCTCAGATTGGATAGTGTGCCCTCAGACTGCCAGGGCTGCTATGTGGAAGAGGAGCATTAAAGGAGATGGAGAGAGTGTAGACTCATCTGCAGGCCAGCTACCAACTACTTATGCTACTTCAGAATCCAGGGTTCTGACTTCAGGAGCACGGCATGCCACTCTTCTTAATTAGAAGGGCAGGGTGCCAGGTAGGTTGTCCGCCAGGTCACTCTTGTATGTTCTCCTACAGAAAGTAAAGGCACAAAAGGGAAGAGAATTTCTTTCAAGCCCCTTCTGTGACCCACAGGCTTACATCTCTAGGAGAGGCTCATATGCCCATGCGACAGAGAGGGAAACTGGCAACCTGAATCTTCCTCACACTTGAACTCTGGTCTTTCTGCCTCCAGAGCAGTGTTCTCAGCCTTCCTAATGCTTCAGTCCTTTAATACAGGCCCTCATGTCGTGGTGACCCCCAACTACAAAATTATTCTCATTGTTACTTCAAAACTTTATTATTTCTTCCGTTATTAATTGTAATGTAAATATCTATGTTTTCTGATGGTCTTGGGTGACTTCCATAAAAGGGTTTTTTGACTTCAATAGGAGTCCTGACCCATAGGTTGAAAACTGCTGCGTTAGACCCATCAACTTTTTCTTAAACTATTACATTTTTAACAGTATTACCTTTAACTGCACAGTAAATTAAAATTAGGAAACAGAAATCATCCTGTTATTTGCATAGCATATTTCTTTCCAGTGTATATACATATATGTGTGTGCACATATAAAATACACATATTTATAATTACAATGTTGTGATTATTCTATACATAATTTTCTGTTCTTTTTCTCACTTAATATAGCACAGTTATATAACATTTATTCTAGACCTCTTTTAGTAATAGCAAAAATCTAGCACTGTTTACTAATCTATTTAATTAGCTTTGCAAATCTAAGTTATTTCTAATGCTTGATGATTTTTAATAAGGGTTCCATGAAGCGTTTTCAGTGTGAATTTCACAGAATTATTTTCTCAGACTAGAGTCCTAAAGACAGACATACAGTTCAGAGTTGTTTTGTTGGATGTGCTTGAAGCATCATCGCCCAGGCAAGTTGAGTTTGTCTATCCCCGCCCCCGCCCCAGTCACGGGAGTTAATTGGTACTGTCCATTTCCTACATGATAGTCAGTTTTGTAGACTAGCAACTTTCTAACTTGTATTAATTTGATTTTTTTATATAAAAGTGCAATTTTGCTGGAGAAATCAGCACCGTGGGTATAAAGAAGATTTGCCATGAAGCCAAGACCAAGGCATGATGTTGCCTCTAGTGATCAGCAGGTATGTGGTCCTTCACAAGCCACAGAAGCTTTCCCAAGTCTATTTCTACAACAGTGACTGAGGGCCCTGTATTACAGTGTTATCTATGAAAGCCAGCGCTGCCAGGCGCAGAGTTAGGGTAAGGTCAGACACCACACTTCAGCCACAGACTCAGTCTCTCCATTTGATTGCTGCCCCACCCAGCGTCCACTCTGGTTTGGATTCCTTTCTCAAATCCTTCTCCCCACCAGGCTGTAGTTTCCTTAGGTTGCATTTATCAATTTCTTATCTTAAATGTTGAAGAATACTGCCTCAGTAGGACACTTCTGTTGAACAAAACCAAGCAGATGAGGGGTAAGATGCTGAACTCCCAGACAGCTGTCAGACAAGCCATTAGAGTGTAGAAAGTAATAGTACTCCAGGCCACTATTTTTTTTTAATGTAAGGAAATTAAAAACTTAAGCTGGCCTAGCATTTAAACACAGGTTCTGGTGCCCTGAGTTAGCCACATGACAATCCTGTCTTCAAAGCATCCTGCTAGAAGAACTGATATTCCACCAGGAGCAGGCTCAGTAGGACACTCTGCTCATTCCTTGTGATTTGACATGTGATTTATGTTCACGTTTGCTAAGCACATTAGTCATAATAGGGTTTTAAGTGGTGCCTATGTACAGAGTGAGTGTCAGTCCAGTTAATCACAAGATTATATTATGCATGAGATTATACAAATACACATGGAGATCTGCAATATTATATAAAGGAATACATATGCATATATAAAGTATTAGGGATATTTATATAAGATTATTTTCATTTGGGGTATTACATATTTCTGATTATAAGATTGTATTAAAAGAATTATATTTTATGTTTTTTTTATATATATATATATATATATAATTGTGTGGGTGATATATGTGTGTTTCTACAGTATACATCCCTATGTAAGTAGGGACAGTTAGTTGATGAATATAGTCATTTACATGTATATTGCATGGTCTATTCATACATGTGTACTGCATGCACATTGTGACTTTTTGATTGCATTACAGGAATATACTTACAGAATTTTCTAAATTAAAAATGCATAAACATTTTTATTTTTAGAAGATGAATGCTCCAAAATTGCTAACTTCGATTAAAAGGCGATAAGTGACTCTCGGCACTTTCCTGGCAGGTGTTAGAATGCACATGCTCCTTTCATCTGCTCCTTCAAAGGCAAAAGGTTTTAACAGCACATGAAAAGGTAAATACTGCAGAGGAGAATCTTATGTAATTTAGGGGACATTTCAAGATCTGGCATTGGGATTTGTTATGTAATTTGGCTCCTAACTATGCCACAAGCATGCTGTCCATAAGAACACTCAGATCTGCGGACTCTGGACATGTGGAAATGCAGCTTTGGCAGTTCAAAGCTAAAGAGCTTTAGTGGGCTTTGAAACCCTCGGATTAAGTGAAAACACAGCAGCATGTGACTGCTTTAAGAGCGGCGGTGGGAATGCACTGGCCTGATTCTCAAGAGCAAGCTTCCTCCCTTGCCTGCCAATATCACAAAGAAGGAACCTGGTTCCATAAGCTGGCTCAAAAGTACACACACTGCTTCCCTAAAGATCTGTCAGTCTCTCGGGGTTTGAGAGCTGGCTCAAAAGTGTAAGTTGGCTACACCAGCCTGAAGAAACATGCTGGTTTCCATGTTCAAAAGGGCAAGTGTCATCATACCTGCCATAAACCCAGCATTAGCTCTCAGGGACTGAAGGACAGTTAGGACTTGCTGGCAACTATTCTGGGGGAAAAACTGGGAACTTAGTGTTCAATTAGCAACCCCCTCTCAAGGGTATAAAACACAGAGCAGATAGCCCAAACGTGTGTGCACATGTATGTGAGTAACTGCATACATAAGTGTATACACACCCATATCACACACCACAGCACACACACACACACACACACACACACACACACACACACACACACACACACCTCTATGAAGTCTTATAAAGACCATCACAGTTTTGACCAGTGTCTTAGTTAGGCTTTTATTACTGTAAAGAGACACCATGACCACAGCAACTCTTATAAAGAAAACATTTAATTGACTCACTTACCATTTAGAGGTTCAGTCCATTATCATCATGGTGGGGAGTGTGGTGGCATGCAGGCAGACATGGTACCAGCTACATCTTGATCAGAAGGCGACAAGAAGCTGACTGTGACACTGGGAGTAGCTTGAGTATAGGAGAGCTCAATGTTCACCTCCACAGTGACTCACTTCCTCCAACAATGCCACACCTACTCCAACAAAGCCACACCTCCTAATAGTACCACTCCCTGTGAGTATACAGGGGTCCATTACATTCAAACTACCACAACCAGCATTATAACAAAGTATCACACGAAACTGAAATCATTATCCTTGAATAGCATATCACAAAGATTAACCAGTTCTTTCAAAACTGATGCATGTTTTCAAAAACATTATTACTTTTAATGATTGATGATAGTTAATGAGGGTCCAAGGCATGCAGTTGAAAATCATTTTAATTATTTGTCTTAATTCATGTTTTCTTTCACCCTTTAAAAGTTCTCAGTGTAGTTTGTTTATAGAGATACACTTAGATATAAAACAAATAGTTGTGCCAGAAACTCCATCCAAGGACTGAGGAATCTGAATGCAGACATCCACGGCTAGGCCCCCGGTGGAGTGCAGGGAGTCTAATTAGCCAGAAAGAGGAGGGTTTATATGAGCGAGAATTGTTGAAACCAAGGTTGGATAAAGCACAGGGACAAATAACCAAAGGAATGGAAACACATGAACTATGAACCAAAGGCTGAGGGGCCCCCAACTGGATCAGACCCTCTGAATAGGTGAGACAGTTGATTGGCTTGATCTGTTTGGGAGGCATCTAGGCAGTGGTACCGGGTCCTGGGCTCGTTGCATGAGTTAGCTGTTTGAAACCTGGGGCTAATGCAGGGACGCTTGGCTCAATCTGGGAGGAGGGGACTGGACCTGCCTGGACTGAGTCTACCAGGTCGATCTCAGTCCTCCGGGGAGGCCTTGACCTGGCAGAGGTGGGAATGGGGTGTGGGCTGGGGGGAAGGGGAGGGGGGCAGGAAGGGGGAGAACAAGGGAGTCTGTGGCTGTTATGAAGAACTGAATAGTATTGTAAAATAAAAAAAATAAAAAGGAAAAAAACAATATACAACATACACACGTTGCTAGTCGGGACACAAATTGCACAGCCCACAAGGAAAGTTTAAATGAAGGATTCCACAATCCTGGGTTCAGACGCTACATGAGGACAGGGAATGCATGAAAGCAGTGACTTGGATAAATGTTTACATCACTGCTCTTAGTGGCGTCATTCAAAATAGCCATGATGTAGAAAGAAACAAAATGTCCATCGAGAAACAAATGTATGAGCCCATGTCCATCCATTTTTAAATGTTATGTATATTTTACTTTATATAGTCTACATGATACTGAACATTATCTATGGGATGAAATACTTTTCAGGCTTTAAACACAAAATTTTTAGTGGTGCACACCTTTAATCCCAGCACCCAACGTCCACGAGTCACTTACAGGCACTCTGTGAGTACCAGGCCACCTTGGATTATACAGTGAAACCTATCTTAAAAAAAAAAAAAATCTGGCATGTGGATGCATCATGAAGACATTATATTAAGAGAAATAAATAAAACACAAAATAAATTATGTTTCATAATTTCATTAACATTTAGTTCCTACAGTAGTAAAGTTCATAGAGAACAAGATACAGAATGGGAGTGATGAGCTGTAGCACAAATCTTAAAAGGTTTTATTATTAAAAATCAAACCTGAGCCAGGTATTGGGGTGAAGGCTGAAAGATCAGAGAAGCAGAACAAGCCACAGCCACCTCGCCTTGCCAATTCCTCAGTTGATCTTGTTTCCTCAGTCTGAAAGCCTTTGAGTCTTCATCCAAATGGATCTCAGCTGAACTGCTGCTCAAAAGCCTAAAAGTATAACCAGCCTAGTTCCTGGTCCTCACACCTTATATACCTTCCTGCCGTCACTTCCTGGGATTAAAGGCGTGTGTCACCATGCCTGGCTGTTTCCAGTGTGGCCTTGAACTCACAGAGATCCAGACGGATCTCTGCCTCCGGAATGTAAGGATTAAAAGTGTGAGTGCCACCATTTTCTGGCCTCTATATCTAGTGGCTGTTCTGTTCTCTGACCCCAGATACGTTTATTAGGGTGCACAATGTATTGGGGAACACAATACCACCACAAGCATGATGAGAAGTTAGTGTTTGAAAGGTACCAGGTCTCAGTCTGAGATAAAGGAATATCGCGGAGAGGGACAGCAGTGGCGGTTGTACCACATGAATGCATGCAATGATATCAATCTGTATAGTTACACTGTCCAAATAAACACTCTAACCTGTGTATAATTTACCACAAGAAAAAAAAAAAAGAAGTCTTGGAGAGGGCTGACTGTGAAAAAAACTAAATTGTCTGAATATGCAATCCTAGCATGCACATATGTAATAATATGCATAGTATAGGTATGTATCAATACACATGTATACACACATGTATTATATTCTCAGCCTTCTATATTTTCAGGTTCCATCTCCACAGAGCCAACTACCTATGGGTAAAAACTATTTGCTAAAAATGGTTGCAACTCTCGTGAAAATATTCAGATTTTTTTCTGGTCATTATTCCCAAAATGAGACGTTATAACAACTATTTGCACAGCATTATGACATGTTCGGTACTGGAAGTGATCTAGAGATGCTGTAAAGTACTCAGAGGACACGTTACAGGGAAAGAATTTTGCAAATATAAAGAATTATGCACAAATATGCTATCTGAGACAAGGGAACGGAATAGGGGAACATCTTGTTCCTGTTCTCCAGACCACAGCCCTGACTTACCACACTTGACAGTTATACAGTAGAAATACCTCCACCCTGGTCAGGTTCAGGCTCCTAGCAAAGATGTCACTGGATAATCATGCTATAGCATGAAGTAGATTTGAACTTATCACCAAGGGAAGTGAGAACAATCAAAATAAGTAAAAATGTAAAATAAAGGCCACTGGTTAGCAATAGAATCCTACCATATGCCCTCACCTCTTAACCCATGCTGCTTTGCCAATGAATAGAAGGAAATGTAGATGTGGGATCAAAAGACTAAAAAGTGGCCTCCAAAGTCAATCCTTATGAATTTCAAGACCCCAAGTCAACCATTGTCCAGCCCTTGGTCTCAGTCTCCTCTGTAAAATAAACATTCACTAACCATCCATCCAGTCAGGGTTTCTATTGCTGTGATAAAACACTGTTATCAAAAGCAACTTGGGTAGCAGAGGGCTTATTTTACCTTACAGCTTGTAGTCCATCATCCAGGAAAGTCGGGACAGGAACTGGAGGGAGGAGTTGATGCAGAGACCATGGAAGAGTGTTGCTTATTGGCTTGCTCCTCATGGTTTACTCAACCTGCTTTTTTATAACAGCCAGGACGACCAGCACAGGGATGGCACCACCCACCGTGAGTTGGAACCTCCCACATCAGCCATTCATTAATCAAGAAAATATGCCACAGACTTGCCTACAGGACAACCTGATGGGGGCATTCTCTCAGTTGAGGTCCCCTCTTCCAAAACAACTCTAGTTGGTGTCAAGTTGTCATAAAACTAACTACACACAATCCCATGTAATTTCCAGGATCAGGCAGATCAAGTGCAATCAAATATACATTGAATAAGTGTGGTGGTTTTAATGCGAGATGTCCCCCAGAGTCTCCAACATTTGAATGCTTGGTCCCCAATCGGTTGCATTGTTTGGAGAAGTTTAGGTGGTGCAGGCTTGCTGAAAGAAGTATGTCCCTGGGAGCGGGTTTTGAGATTAAAAGTCCCCGCCTTCTTGAAGATTGCTTTCTCTGTTTCATACTTGTGGTTCCAAATGTGAGAGCTCAGCTTCCTGCTTCTGCCTCCTTGCTGCCCCTACCACTATGGACTCTAACCCTCTGGAAACATAAGCCAAAATAAACTTCTTTTTCTATCAATAGCTGGGTCGTCACATTTTATTACAGCCACAGGAAAGTGTTAGATACAAGAGGAAACTTCCCGTGTTGGTCCTATTCATCAGGGAAATGTTTCTCCAAATTGGATTTGATGGCACTGCTGGAAAGGAAAACATTCAGGAGCATGAACTCCAGTTAGAACACAACAGTACAGTGAGCCACACAGCACCGGATGCCA